GCGACAGCTGAAATGTATCCTATCTTCTTTCCATTCAACCAACATAATGGGACAAAGGCCTGGAATCTGCTTCTCTCAGTCTCTCAGATACACACACAGAGAGAGAGAGCACTTTCCCAATGACTCAATGTCTCTTCACATGGATGCAGTTGCTGCCCCTCTCTCACTCCCCCTTGGACAGCCATTTGTTTACACTAGCTCTAGGCTCAGCCATGTTTCCATGACGATACAAGCCCAGGGATAGTCACATGGCTGGGGGTAGACCTGAGGCACTGGATCCAGGATCACTGCTCCTTCCCACCTTAGAGTCTGGTCCAGAAACAACATCTGATCAACTGACTTTGAGGTTTACTTTCACAAAAAAAAAAAGGGAAAAAAAGAACATCACCTTTGCTTATTGTTTAGAATAACATGAAACGTATTTTTGAGGAATATTTTCCAAAGGTCCTGAGTCATATTATGTCTGCATCTCTTTAAGCCCTGATTCAGAAGTTGAGCCTCTTTACAACATGTTGGTTTCACACAGAAAAACAGCATATTCGGAAGCTTTCTTTCTGTCTTTGGTGGCAGGCATGTGGGCTCATTCTCGATGGGCATTGTAAAAAGATAAAGGAACTCTCCTAACCTAACAGGAAAATAAAACCAGATCTACCCACATGAAAAGAAACAGCCCACACACAAACAAAAAGAATAAGCCCTCACCCACTAAAAACCCAGCTCAGCCTGATAGCGTCTCGCAGACAACATGCTCATGCAAGATTTACGTGTAGCATCTTAAATTCTGCACCTTTGTGGACAAAATGCTTGAAATGTCGATGTGGGTCCTCTAGAAGCTCTTTGAAAAGCCTTGTGAATTCTTAGTTCAAAAATGTGTGTGCGTGCACGAGTGTGTTCTTGCACAAACATGCTCAGTGTTACTCCACCTTTGTAAGTGGTACCGATTTCTCCTTGGCATTTGGCTTACTGCTTTGTCACACAAACAATAACCTACTAGTATGTGCAAATATTCTTTGTTGTTTTATCAGCTCCTTTGTTATGTGGGTGTTGTCTGTGTCTTTGTGTTTTATTGTTGTAAATTATGTCTGATATTACCACGACTGTGCCTGAACCACACATGCGCTTTACAGCTCCTGTATTCACGCACCTACTGTAAAGAGTGCTTTTAAAGAGGTAAACATAAGCTTTAGGGGGGGTCTTTGTTATGATTTTTTCACCATATGTGTTACAAAAAAGGGAACAGGTTGAAAAACAGGGAACCACCAGACTGGTTGTTATTTCAACGTTTCATTGACATCATGATAAAAAAGAGGGTGAGAGAGGGAGAGTAGATGACGCAGAAACCTAATTAAGATTCTCCAGAGCGTGAACAAATTAACCTGAGTTATGAGCATGCAGAAGCACAAGACAGACACACACACACACACACACACACACACACACACACACACACACACACACACACACACACACACACACACACACACACACACACACACACACACACACACACACCGATTCCTCTCTAAAATAGGTGGAGCAGAGGAGGATGACATTCACACTCAAACAGGCATGACTGCCATGGACATTCAGTGATATTTTAGGAAGGGGAAAGGCAAAATATTATAGACTATCTAGTCCAACAACACCACCATGGAAAATACACCAAAATAGGCTACAGTATATGCATATCTCCTTTCATTCTACTTTAATTTAAAACAGCCGTAACAAAGTGTCCACCTCATCACTCAGATTTGGGGCAGCAGCATGATAAAATGACATGTAGCTTCATGTGAAGAATTTGCCTAACAAGGAGAGCTGGATAAATAGGTTGTAGCATGTAGCTCACGCTAATGACATTGCAGAGAGCGACATATGCCAGGCATCAGTATGTCACTCCATAGGGACATGGGGCTTACGGTAACAGGATAGTAAGAGTGAGGAGGAGGTGGTGGTGGTGGTGGGGGTTATGGGTTTTTTTTACCTCCTGGCACAAAGCCCTGGAGGCAGACAGGGATGAGGGGTCAAAGGGAGGAGGAGCGGGACAGTGTCATAAATGAATGAGAGAACAGGGGGTGAACTTGACCCAGACTGGAGGACTAAAACAGGAAGGAGGGTAATGAAGTGCAAACATGCTTTGTCATGCCATGTTAGAGCCATAGGATTAGAATTCTATAATTAGAGGACGGGGCACCATAATACTAGCCTTCCTTTCAGCATGATGAGCTGTCGAGTCTAAATTACACAAGGGGGCCGGAGAACAGATGCTGTGATCAGAACAGGCAGCTCTGGAAGTTTTCTATACCGGTAAATGATGCTCAGTTACAGCACTGCACAGTGTGATTGACAAGCTAAAGAAAATTGAAACCTGGCACGTCGGCGGGATTTACTGATATTTCTGTGATCAGCTCATGACAATGTAATTTTCCTGACAGACAGCGGTTGTTATGGGACTGTTCTCCGAAGCAACATGCATATTTCATTTTATTCATTTGCAGTTTTTTTGATGTATTATTACGCACAGAACCTTTTCGTGCAGGTTGAGGTTAGGTATGTGTTCCACTACCTGGTCAGCGGCTGACGAATTCATCACCGTTTTGACAGTCGAAAGAGTGCAAGAGGGCTGAAGTTGGGTTATAACGCTGCTATAGCAGGAGGAGCAGCGGACTGGTAGATAACACTTGCATTCGTATATGAATATTTATCTCGAAGGCTGGCATTGGAACAGATGAGCTCGCATGGGAGAAAGAACAACCCATCCATCTCACTCTCTCCACTTCTCTGCGCTTCATTCTTTACTTTCATACATCCCCTTCTCTTGCAATCACCATTTCAATGCCTCTTTCCTCTTTTGCATTTTCCACCCACTTTTTCCCTCTAGGCTTCCCCTCTTTTTCTTGATATCACCCGATCTATTGCTCTTCCCCTTAAACGCCATCCCCCTATCCATTCTCTCTGCAGCACTGATGTATGGAAAGAGATGGAGGAAAAAAGGAAAAAAGCGTGTGATTAATGTCTTTGAGAAAAAGATAAATAATCACAGGAGACTGGGGGCTGGTAGTTGGCCTTAGGGGAGTAAATATGGAGAGTTTTATAGCTGCTCACTTGGGAGAGAGGGAGGGAGGAGGAGGAGGAGATGAGAGGGGGAGGAGAGGAATACGGCGACAGCAGATCCATTCAAGTATATTAGCTTTCCCCCCCATACACAATAACCTCCGCATCTATTCTATTGCTCTACTGTCTTTCATCATCAACACAGAATCCCATCCCACTGACAGCACACACATAAGAAGCCACACAAAGCCACGCACGCTTGTGTGCGCACACAAACACACCCTCACAACCACACTGCACTTTTTTTTCCAGGCCAGACCCCACTGTATGTGTTTGATGGGCCAATACATGTGGTGTGTGATGTGGCTGACAGCCCCCTCCCATGCTGCCCTGCTTTTAAGCCCTCATCCTCCAGTGGCTGCCTGTCCCCTGGAGTAGATTGCATCTTTTATTTATCATTTTCTCTTCCTTGGCTTTATCTACCCCGGCTAGAAAAAATTCTGGGGCGAAAATTGCAATCAGCATAACATGCCCTCCTCCTGCTGTGTATTCGCCTGTCATCCTCCACTCTCTATGAGCATGCAGGATGAGACTGACAGCCCGTGCAGACGAAGACACACACATGCACACACTGATGCATGCACAACCCCCTCTGTGTTTATCAAACCCCCCACACATACTCTATTCTCTCTCTTTTACACACACACACACACAAAAAAACACATGCGTGGCCAAAGAAAATGACCCTGTTACTCTCTTTGTCACTATTTCTTACTATTTTCCAAAGTGCGCGCACACACACACACACACATATCTTCTCACTGACGCCTTAAACTATTTTACCCTGTGCTGTTTCGCTTCCTAAAGCCCCAAAAGAGTGAGCACATAAATGAGTCTAATGCTGGGGAATCTGGTAAACAGGCCAGAGAGGGAGGGAGAGCTGCCTGCCTGTCTGCCTGCTCCATGGCTACTATTGTGCACTGCACATTCTCTGAGCCCACAAGAGCTGAAGCCATCTCCACACAGATTCTTTGGAGGAATAGTAAGCCAAGAAGTGAGGGAGAGAGAGAGTGGGAGCAAGGGAGAGAGATAGAGAGGGTGAGGGAGGGAGGAGGAAGAAGATCATGCATAAAATCTTGTTTGCAGAATGCATTAAGATTCAGATGAACTGGGGGGGTTAATGGGATTAGAATCCTGAACCGTTTCCAAGGGTGGGGAGTCGGATTGACAGCTGAGTCTATTGCACTGACGATTGCAGTGAAATATTGTGGCTCTGGCAAAGGCAGCCAGCCAGGCAGGCAAGCAGGCAGGCAGGGGGTTGCTGAGCCTAAAGCACCTCTGTTTACTCCGAGCTTAACCACAAATAATGCAGCAGAGAGGGGAAAAAATGCATCTTTGCCTCTACCAGCTGCATATAGCCTGTGCTTTAACTGAATGTTGGGCAGGCAGCAGAAAAGCTTCAGCCTGTCTCACAAAGGTGTTTGGCAAACAAAATAGAAGCACTGTGGCTTTAAATCGCCGTCCCTCCCACCCTTTCTAAATATCGTCTATTTAGCCAGCGGTGAAAAGATATAGGGGGCTTTTGTCTGCGTACCCATTGGTGGGGGCATGGAGAGCTGGAAAGACATAAAAATAGGAACAAAGTGCTAAGCTTCCAATTGGGATGGCTCTGGGCGATTCAATGCGCGCAGCTCAGTGGGCAAAAACAAGGAGAAGTGGGCTACTATTACGGGCTTATCTGAAAACAGGCTATTCTCACACAGCTATAGGGTAGACGAGTGTGGAAATACCCTGCATTGTTTATAATACACAAGGCTATGGGAGGCACACAACACAAGCCCTTTAAAAGTCTGGCACGGTTCCACAGAACAAGGCATACGGTGCGAGTTTGGTGTTTTGTTTATTGCAGGCTGTTTTCCTGCATTGTTGTAACGTTATAGTCCACTCACCGACTTGCAATACGTTGTCCACCCAGCCACCCTCTAGCAGAGTGACACCCCGTAGGAAAGGCAGCTGGGTCTCGTCATTATTGTCCCCGCTAGTTCCACTTTCCTCTCCTCCGGCGTTGAAAGAGGAATACATACAGATCTCCTTCTCGCTTCTCGGGAATGACCAGTATACGATCCTCCGCTGGACGGGCTCCGGGATCCTCTCGAACCGCTCCTCCACCCTCTGAAACGGCCACTTCTCCGCGACTCTGCGTGCCGCGATGTCGAGCAACGACTCGGGGTTGTGCGTTTTTCCATTCCCCGACCCTCCCGGAGCGGACCCTGCGCCGCCACACAGAACTCCTCCAGCCCGCTGCCCCTGCCTGCACGCCGGGTTGTAGCCGGGCCTGCAGCAGAGCCGCTTGGCTGGGGGCTGCTGGACTCGCTCGGCCATGATCGCACCGCTTCCAACCTGAAGCGCAGTTCCTCTCCGATCATATAAACGGGATAAGGAAGAGAAAAGGGCAATCTCGCACCGATTGTTTGCCGTACATGGAGAGACTGCCCTTATTTGGAAAGGGAGGCGGCGCCTGCGAGTTCCGTGAAGTCCTTTGTGTTGTCAAAGTAACCGGGATGGGCGGGATCCTGGAGCGCTGCCAGCGCACGAGTGGCGCTATAAAAGGAACTGGAGGCGGAATTCCCGAACGTCGGCAAATCCTTTGTGAAGCCGTTCGGGAGCGCGAGGGCGGAGCCCCGGCGGCCGACGGCCTTTGAAGTTTCCTTCTTATTTGAGTTTAAAGGCGGGGACTTAATCCAGGGGCGGTCTCGCAGTTTCCCACAGGGGTAAAAGGGGGCAAGAAAACTGACTTTTTTTTCCTTTGGAGCCTGTGCTACCACCCCAGGCTTTAGCTTCTTCAATAACAACGTGATGGTTGTTTTCGATTCTTTAGTCCAAAGGACTCTCTTAGCTGTCAAAGACAGAAAGGGCGTGGGAGGAGGAACATAAAGATATGGAGCTGGACATGCTTGTCCTCTGTAGTCACTAATCAGTCATTTTGGTCAGCTATTTGGCACTGGCTTACTGTGCTGCTGCCAGAGCTAGGCTATTATAGTTTTGTACTTTTCATTAGGTTTTATTTTGTGTTTTCAGTTCCGTTTAGTTTTTCAGAGTTTCTGTTTAGTTTTTGTTAGTTTTGGTGTTAGTTTAAATATCCCATAGTTATAGTTATAGTTTATCCCAGTCTCATGCTAGAACTAAAGACGTTTCCTGTGTATTTTTATTTCATTCAGTTTTGTAAGCACACTTTATTGTTATAGTTGCCTGGTAGTTTTTGTTTTTTCTGAAGTCTAGTTTTTACTTTTATTTCAGTTAAATAAAAAGTTTTTTGTGAAATAGCTTTTTTTAGTTTAGTTTTATTTAACTATAATAACCTTGGTTGCTGCCTAGTGTGGACAATTAATCACAAACACACTCTGAAAGCTCTCTCTCTCACACACAGACAATATTTATCTTAATTTTAAAGGGTCCCTCCACAGATTTTACACATGAAGATAAGCAGGCCTATATAATCTCAAAGGGGGGAGTAATCGGTGTGTTGCCTGTGAAAACACTTGTAGGCATCTTCTGTGGCTTAGGGAGCTCCCTGTAGTTCTGAGAAAATACATCGTCTAACTCTGATGATGTCATCAGGGTTATCTTGGATTGGGACATTAAGATTTTAAACAGAAAGCTTGTTACAAACTGGGGATCTGGAGTTTGAAAGATGTAGGGATTGCCAGGTATTCCATTAAGGCTCTACGATGATATCAAGTTGCATTATGTGAAGTGATCCAGTGCTTTTGGAGTTTCACCCATAGTGTTTTTAGATCCAGATATCTGCCTCTGTTGCATCAATCGTGACCATTCTTTTTTTTTTATCTCTCCCACGTCTGCCAGCTTTATGAAAGTGCAACACTAAATTACTCTCTACTCTTTACTCACTCCAATGGTTGAGTCTGTCGAATTGCAACAAAAAAAGGCAAAATCAAAGGATGTTGGAAATTCCTCAAGGTCTGGCCCGACTGGTGGTTTTTCTTGTAACCATTATGACACATACCACTAGTGGAGCTGGTTAACTATAAATTGTGGTGCAGTCATTTTATGGTCCTCCTCCCTGCTGTTGATAATGTTAGTTCCATAGCTGTGTCATGGAAAGGGGGCCTACTTCTGTAGGAGTAAAATAGTCATCAGGGGTTTAGGGTGAGGCTGCATTGCCCACCCCCCTGGGCTCTCCCCGCCTGGTGAGACATCTCGCAGAAGCTAATAATTATAAGCATATAACAAAAAAGCCACCAGAATGGGGATATTTCTCTAAATTGTCTATAAAACTTGGCCAAAACTATGCTGGTAAACCAGAATGTGTGTTTGCAATGTGTCTGCATGTGTTCCCAGCTGCCCCTCTCCTTCCTCTGTGAGTAGGTCTAAGAGGCTGGCCTTTGAACTGCTCTGAAAGTGATCCATGCCGTATGGACAGAGCAGATGTGGCCTAACCTGATTTGGTTTCAATACTTCCCCACAGGAAGTTCACAAAGCCAGCAGGTCCTCCTTTGTTATGTTAGTCATCTTTCTCAGAGGGCCAGTGGAGCATTTTGCTTCCCCCCCCACCTTTTTTTTTTTACGCAGTTATTGCCTTATTGTTTGTTTTATTCAGAGCAGTTTTACACGTGATCAGAAGCTTTAGCAACAGCTAGATGTCATGTTATTCAATGTCTTGTAACAACACACACTACTGTTTTTTCAAGAGTTTTGTATTCATTGTTACTCTGTCTCCACTATTTTATTTGAATCGTTATACATAGGACATTGCTTTACATTCATGAAAAAAACATTTACTCACTTACTTTAAACAAATATTCTTTATAATAATGTAATCATTTGCACATTCCTGCACACTGTACAGTTTTTTAATGGTACATATTGTCTTTATAATATTTTATAATTTGTTATTGTCATTTTTTTTTAGTTATGCCTCATGACTTGCAGTATTTGCTTTCATCTTTATTTATATTTTTCTTTTATTCAGAGTATGGCTCACCTTTCCAGCGTTCTTTCAAGCTGCAGGGTAATGTTCCTTAAGTATAGTTAGGAGTAAAAGAAGAAGAAAAATAATGATAAAAATGGTGTTGCTGCTTTTCTTAATTTATTACGTTCTTTATAGGCTATACTGTATTCATTACAGCTGCCTTCATCCACTCCTCCGCATATTTATTTTGGTTTGCCACATTTAGATGTTCTTCAACCTCTGCTCTGCTCCTGTCAAGTTGTTTAATGCTAGGATATTAATATACATAAAAGTACTCCATCATCTAAACTAAATGTTTCTATTACCACTGTACATTTACACCTTTACGCTACAATATTGTAGCAAAAACACTGAATTAACCACTGCTTTATTTAAAGTTTTGATTAAAAAAAAAAAAAAAAAGTAATGCATATTAGGCAAACATTAACAATAAAAGAAGGCAATACCTGTTACAAAGTCATCAAAGGAGAGAGCTTTATATGAATTCAGATCTTTTAGTGCACCATCAGCCTTCCCTCTATGTTATATCTAAAAACTACATTTCCCATGAGTTAAGGAGAGCGTCATACCCAATCCCGAGCGGGCAGTAGGGACCACACAGCAGTTACACTACCCGGAACAGGGAGGAGTCGCTACTTATTATCGTGGATATCAACACAATCTCTGCACTTTGGTAAGTTTATGATGTATTTAGTTCGTTTTTACCACCACTAACCAATATTAGAATATACAATCGTTGTGTTGGCGCATTGATATGCTTGCTATTTCGCCGTTTGGCCGAGAGTTGGTTACTGCTCTTGCTCCTTAAAGTTAGGCCGTTATGGATGTGCGGGTTAGCTAGCGCTGCTCGCTAACGTTTGTAGAAATGAAACCAAATATTTCATCCACATCTCAGAAATTCCGATTCAATCCTAGTGGCAGACGATGTGAATTTGTTTTCTGAACTTGTTTGTATAAAGCTGTAGTCAGAATTAAATGTCTGTAACGGGTTTGTCTTTGAATACAGCTAACATATGCTAGTTAGCTGCGATTTGTGTTGATGCTAGTTAAGTAGCCTTTCTATGATGAATTGTTATGCAGCGCTAAGTAAGTAACGGTAACGGTAACAGTAACGTTACCTAAGACTTGACTTGATTCGGGATTACATTGGATAACGTGATAACATTGGCGTGTGGTATGAAAACCTGTTGCTAAATGTAAATTAATAGCTCTGTGTCTATCTTAACGAGTTCTTTTGGAATAAACTGGCTAACGTTACAGCTATTTACAAGGCCGGTTATCGTTTTTGTGTGTTTATAATCATTGGACTTGTTATCCTAGAGGTATTTATTGCGTAGCCCAATATTACAATACAATATTGTACAGAGCAGCTGAGAAGTTAGGTTATTTTCCAGAAAGAGCTCTGAAATACTTGAGAGGCCCAGCTTAAAAATAGCTCAGAATGACTCCAAATGGCCTCAGTTTCACATCTAACATCAAACTGCAATGTTTAAGTCAAATTAATTGCTTTGAGAATGATTTTTGTGTGTAAGATGCGTTATCTGTTCTTGAATTAGTGACGAAAAACCTCAAATATAACTGAAGCCCAGTTGCCCTTGACTCAGCAATACTGGATATCCAATAACCTGGATGGATGACTGGAAAACTATTATTTCACCACTGATGTTTAACTCCTTCCGACCTTGCAGCCCAATGTGATGAGCATCAACTGAGCAATTTTAACAAATAAGTTTTACTCAAAACAGGAAATCCTTCATCAGTTTGGATTAGGGCTGCATGATATGGTAAAAACATCATATTGTGATAATTTTTACTAATATGGCGATAGTGAAACGATTGACGATTAGTGTGGGAAGGATCATTTTTGCATCACAGATTTAATTGTTATCTTTATGATGTGAAATTGTTAGTGATCTGTACCAAACAAACATGTTTTCTTACATCTAATGAAAAGAATGGAAGATTTGTAGGCCAGGGCATCTCTTAAGAACTACAGTACTTCATTATAATGTTGTTTTGTCACACATTTTACCTTGAGCAACAAAAAAAGGAGTGCTTTTCGTCACCTCTGTTATACAGGACAATAAAGAGGTAGATAGGAAACAAAGGAAGCGAGTGAGTGGTGTGAAAGTGTAACCGTGTGCATCAATGTGAGAAAGTACCTTAACCTGTCAGGTATTTAATTAGCTGATTAGCCAGAAAGTTTGCATATGTCTGGTTAAAGGCTTAGAATAACCACGATTAACAAACTTTGCCAACTTGCTTTTTCTGTGCGACCAACAGCCCCAAACCAAAATATATTTAATTTACGGTAATATAAAACAGAAAAAAGCAACCTCACATTTCAGAGGCTTGAACAAGCAAGTATTTGGTATTTCTCCTGAATAAATGACTGAAACAATGAGTTGATTAACAAAATGGTTGACT